AACAAACAAACGCATAAACAACACCCACATAATAATATGCACACACATAGAGACACACACAAACACATAAACAGCACCCACATGACAATGTGTGCATAAAAACAGACACACAAACAACACCCCCACACGTGCGCACACACAAACACACACACAAGCATAACACCCCACATGTGTACAGACACCCCCCCACCCCCCACACACAAACACACACACACACCCATGCACACACACAGACAAAGACACCCCCTCACACACACCACGACATCGGGACGTCAGACAGAGACGTGTTTTTTCCTCGGGCCCGGCATCGAGGTAATGATCGCAGTCGTCGATAATCTCCCCGGGCGATAACTGTTCTAGCTAAAAAAAAACCCAGAGCTGCTGCCTCCTTCTTTGTCAGCCTCTGGCTCTCACAACTTTAATGTTATGCAGACATACTCTGCTGGAACAGATAAGGAGAGGGGGTTGCATAATTTACTAAAGAAATTCGTCCTTTTTCTTGATGAAAAGAGAAAAATGAGAGATTAGAGTTGGATAATCCACCCCCCCCCCAAAAAAAAGGGCCACTAATCCGGTCACTAAACCACGCCACAGAGACCCGCTCAAGGAGTTTTACTCTTCGGAATCCAGAAGATTGGTGGTCAGAAACAAAATCCCCCCCCCCTCCCTAATCGTTCCTCCAACCTTTTCTTTTCTTTACTTTACCATGAACAATGTACATTGTACTTCAAAACAAGACAAACATGGGAGCGAGAGTGATCAATTCAGAAAAGAACGTTTCCAAGGAACGATAGTACATGTCTCACAGAATGGAAGGAGGGGGAAAAAAAAAAAAAAAACCCCAACAAAAAACAACCCCCCCCCAAAAAAACAACAACAACAACAACAACAACTACAAGCTAACAAACAAACAAATCCAAAACAAAACCACAAACACCCACACGGACTGTGTGCGGACAGACTACGAATGAAGGCCAAGGAACAAGACTCGCAAAGAACATCAGACGGACACAAGGGTACAGCCAAGCCCAACGAAGAAGACGTAAACAAACCAGTTGAAATTTTTTTTAAAAACCCCACCCAAAACCACAGAAACTTCCAAACAACAAAATGAAAGAGAACCAAGGAAAAGTAAAGACAAAAGGGCAAGCTTCAAGCCCCTTCCCCTCCCAAAAAAGGCAAAACAAAAGCAAACAAAACAAGCCGGATCTGACGTCTTCGTGATAACGCCACATGTCAGTAACCCAAGGAGACGATCTACGAAGGCAAGAGAAGTGTGCAGTGCTGTGACGCAGCACGACTTGAATTTTCGTTTAGTTTTCTCCTTAGAAGGAAACATGATGTGGTCACATGTGTCTTCACTTGCTGCTGCGAGTATCTATGACAATTACAATAATTGCGCCGCCGTTCGAAAAAAGTTTATCAATTATTTTTCACTGGATCACTCATTTGCCAACTGCGCTTCAAACAGTGCGTGATTGCCCAACCATAAACACTGCTCATTACAAGATTGGCGTGTACAAAGATAGGGTGTCATTACAAAATCACCCCAACACCCGTTAGGCGAGCGAATACACTCGGTCTTTTCTAACAAAGAACAAATGCTACATCTTTAAGAAGTTTTTGAGTTCGTTGTTGTTTTATTTTGTTCGTTTTTTGTTTTGGGATTGCTAGTTTTTTTTTGTAGTTGAGAGAGAGAGAGAGAGAGAGAGAGAGAGAAAGAAAGAAAGAGAGAGAACCCACTCAAAGGGCAATGACTCCCTCATCTCTACAACTTCTATATTATTATTGTATGAGATAAGCCGAAAAAAAGCGGGAGATTGATTTTTTTTTTAAAGAACAGGAAATTACATTTGTGTACTTCCTCACCTTTCCCGATCAACAACAAAAGTCAACCGTTTAAAAGTGCTTCCGGGGTTGTTTTTCCCTTTAAGGTGCATTACTGACAAGAAGTTGGGGGTTATTTTCGGATAGCTAACCAGAAATGTATTTTCAGTGTCCTGAGAACTTGCCAACGAGAAACCAGGAAGTCTTTCAGCCGACTGGGCAGCGCAAGAGCTTAGGTACGGGTAGCCAGCTACGGCAGGCAGATAGAAGAAACACTAATGTAATACGGGGTGCCCACTACGGCTGGGATCGGCC